GACTTTAGTGGACTACATTTTGAGGTGGAGAAACCTTAGCATGAAATGTGAACCTCAGCTACAAGAACATCATGCAATTGAAATCTTACTCAAGTGCATCCATGGGTCAGTAGCTTTCATGCTCAAGGGACTCAACATTTAATCCTTCGAGAAGCTACTCAGCAAAGTCAGCAATCTTCAAGAAGAAGTAAAACATATGGATTCTCATGAGAAGGCCAAGAAGTCCAGGATGACCAAAGAATTTAAAAAGAAGTCCGGAATAGTGGTAACTGTCGATAAAGGAAAACGGCCAATGAAGATACATACAAAACATTCTCGTCATCCGTCATCACAGCATGCTCGACAACAGACACAATCGTATGAGCAGTCCAGCTAGCGACCGCCTCTCGGAGGATCACACCGAGCTGAGAATAAGATAATATCTTAGGCAGAATGATAGAAAGTAGTGTATTCCTTAAAAGACAAAGTGATATCCAAGATGTTCAGATGTCTGATGAGGAAGCTTGAGTACAAATTACAAGATCCAAGGAAAACCGAAGAGGTTGATAAGAAAGATCAATCGAACTATTGCTTGTATCATAGATTGCTTGGACACACTATAGAGGAATGTTTTGTTTTCAAGGATTGGCTTGAGAAGAATCTTAAAGAAGGGAATATAACAATCCGGAAAGAATATTTAAAAGAACCTGAAAAAGGTTCCATAAATATGATTTCGGCTGAGTCAAACTATCCGATTTACCCGTATAATAGAAAGGATAGATGGAGTACGGCTTGGAACAAGCTCAAGGGGGTCCTAAACCAGATCCAGTATGCTTCAAGACAAGCTTTCATTCAGAGGCTTCAGCCTGCCAAACCCTAGATGAAGATTTCACCAGAAGATCTGTCATTATCAAAGAAGAAGAAGATAAATACACCACCACCAAGACTGATAGTACGGGGGGTAGGATAGGAGCTGCCTCTGCTAGATTGGTTGTCTCAGATTCAGGGAAGAAAATCCTCGAACCCCTGACCTTGAATGATTATCTTTTTACCCCTTCGGGATCTTATGAATATAACGATTATGATTTCGGCTACATTTTAACTTTTTCTAGTGATAATGTGATCTATTATGACAAAGGTAACTTCGATCTTGATTCCCAAAATGATCCTTAAATCATGCGAGAGTCTGATTAACTCATTAACAAGACTGAAGAAGACATTGAAAACACCGCTTATGATAGCGCCGAGAGTGAGAAACCAATCCTCGAGTGTCATGGTACACCACTTGCCATCAATTTAGTATCAGCACTATTTTGGGTTGGGTAGTTCTTCGTTGGAAGCTGTCGATCTCCAGAATTGGAATCCTGTTGTCTGCTTTGGAAAGGGATTTTTTTTTAATTTACACATATATATATATATAGTTTAGAAAAATATGAAATCAAACTGAACCCATATTTTTTATAGTTTAAATAAAAGATCACTATACCTAAAATCATGTATCTATTCCAAAGGATAAACACAAGACTTGAGGATGAGGCTTGATCAAATAAACTAAGAAATATATGATATCTGTTTGGTATGGGAAACCATTTTATTTACCGATAAATTCCTCTATTTAATTTGAATAATTAAATAAGGTTTATATTAAAATGGGTTTGGAAAAGCTTCCTCTAACGGCAAGCCCCTATAGTTAATTACATCTTAGATAACCAAAGTCACCTAAGAAATCTCTCAATAAAAATAAGGAAATGTTATTTTCAAAGAAGTTAAAAGGATAGGACATTTCAACGAGATCAGACAAAGAGGTGTGAAAGGGGAATGGTTCAAAATTTGGAACATTCATTTTAAAATATAAAAGAGGAAGAACTAGTGGAGGTCACAGGTCCAGACGAGTGTCTCAGTAACTTCCCAATCTATCATATTATTTGGCTTCAATTTCAAGGAGAAATTTTTTAAGATCTTCATCTAGCCAATTTTATTTGCTTAGGGCTTACATTTATTTGAAAAGATCACCTGGAAGATGTGAGGATCTAGCTTGCGATGAACGACAACCTCGTAATCCTAAGATTAGTTAGGGCTTAGATTGTACAATATAGTTATACGAAGGCTTAATGTTGAGTTGAGGATTTATGTTGCGCTAGGAAGACAACCTTGAAATCTTATGAATTTTTTTTAAATTCTAAGGAAGGATATGCTGTTGTAGATCCTTTTGTTGTTGAAGATGGTCGTGCTGCCCACAGTGCCAACTCCAAGCTTCTTGTCGTGATGAGTTTAAG